GCCTTTTATTAAATCAAAAATGTGGTTTGGTTTTGTGAAAATTATGTTGATTTAAAATGTTGTTAAAACAAAGATTTTGGAGGTGATTTTTTACTTTATGCTTCATAAAAAGTCACATTGGGAGGACAACACAACGGTTAACAGTAGAAATGGAAGAAGAATAATAACAAATGGGGTATAAATAGGTTTAAAATATAAAAACAAAGTGTGAAACAGTTTAATATGTAGTAAAACTGCATCTTAGTTTTATTTCCATCACCTTTTGACATTGCGAGAGGAACCAGTCGTGCAAGCTTTAATCAAAAGTTTGTTTTCCTAACTTTACTTTTCTTGAGGTCAATGATTACCTGTTCCATTTCTTATCTTCACTTATCACTTATGTGTGTGCTCTGCTGCCTTATCAAAGTGTAATGCTTAAATGTCAGTGCATTTGTATAAAAGAGGATGCAAAGCTGTGTGTAGGCAATCAAGTCTTTGGAGTCATAAGGTGAGTTTACTGCACTTTATGGCTGCTGCAGTATTTCAGTTTCAGTGTTTCTGTGAAGTGATTTTTTGGTGAAATAACCTCCTTTTTTTGCAGTTGATAGCCAAACCGTGAAAATGCAGCGTGCCTTTGTTCTGTGTGCCGTGGTGGCGCTGTCCGAGTGCCTCTTCCAGTAAGTCCTTCCTTTCTAAAATATATACCTGTATCTCGAAAGAAAATATTATTTTAAGTAAAGGCAGCTCGGTCCATGTTTTTTTGTAAAATACTGACATGGGTAGTGTCCAGAGGTGGGAAGTAACTAAGTACATTTACTCAAGTACTGCACTTAAGTACAATTGTTATGCTACTTGTACTTCTACTCCACTACAGTTCAGAGGTAAATGGTGTACTTTTACTCCACTACATGTATTTAATACCTTTAGTTACTTTACAGATGTGGATGAATGATGTGAAATATGATCAAGTGTTGAATCAGACTTTAGTTCCACCTGGAGTAAATTCACAAGCTACCCTGCAGTATACAAAGTCATTCAAACTAGCTGCACCTTTACCAGCTTTGAGAACACTTTCATGATCAATCATTATAAAACATATCATATATATTATTCTGAAATGGACCAATCTGCACAATGACTACTTTTACTGTCGCTACTTTCACTATATTTTGATGAGAATACTTTTCTACTTTTACTTGAGGAACATTTTGAATGCAGGACTTTTACTGTAACAGAGTATTCCTACACTCTGGTACTTCTACTTTTACTCAAGTACTAGATCTGAGTACTTCTACTTTTACTCAAGTACAAGATCTGAGTACTTCTACTTTTACTCAAGTACAAGATCTGAGTACTTCTACTTTTACTCAAGTACACGATCTGAGTACTTCTACTTTTACTCAAGTACAACATCTGAGTACTTCTCCCACCTCTGGTAGTGGTGTAGTTTGGACCCAAACGCAGGACAAAGGAATAACAGAAAATACTTTTATTTGTTTCTTGGTCTCGACAAGGCAAAGCAAACCAGAACATAACTTCGTGAAAACGACAAACAACAATAAGAACAACAGAAAAGCAGGACTTAATACAAGCAAAACTAATGGTGCCAGTGTTTGCAGAGCTAATGGGGAACAACTTGAACTAATAACGGCGGGAAAGTCTGACAAAACAGGTGGGAAAGTCTAACAAAGACAGGAAGTAAAAACAGACTACGGGAAGAAAGCTTAAAAATTAAACGGGAAACACGAAAACCAACGTAATCCCATCAATGGCAGTCTCCGTTTAGTTTTTCCAATATCTAGATTACAAGATTAATATTGGCAGTCCATTAAATTCAATTGAAAACAAGAAGTCAAGATTGTTAACGTTGACGATGAAGGAAACATGCAAAAACCTTGGAGAAAATAAAATGAAAGTGTCTCCAGTTGGTGCATTGCAGGGTTCATGTATATCGACTTCTTGCACAATTTGTATTTTTGTATTTTATCATATATGTTGCATGGTTGGAGGAGCTCAGGTCAGAAGAATTTCATTGCCATTTCTACACTGTAGCTTTGTGCATATGATAATAAAACCTGTCATGGAAAACCAAATGAAAGTGTCTCCCCTTGGTTTTTCGCAGGGTTCCTCTGGAGAAGAGTAAGACAGCGAGGGAGACCCTGGAAGAGCAAGGTCTTTGGGAGGAATACCGTCTCAAATACCCGTACAACCCCATGGCCAAGTTTGACGATAGCTTTGCTGTCGGCGGCGAGTCCATGACCAACGACGCTGATGTGAGTAACAGCTGCTGACGATTTAAAGGTCACCTATTATGTAGACAATATCCACTTTTTCCTGTCTTTTCTACATCAACATGTGTCCCCTCTTCTTCATGTCTCTTCTACATCAACATGTGTCCCCTCTGTGTAAAGAGATTCTGAAAGTTTCAGGAAAAAAGATTCTCTCTCTTTTTGTCCTGATCCATTTATATAAAAACCTTTCTGAAAATGAGCTGATCAGATTTTGGCCACTTTGTGATGTCATAACGATGTTTTGGCTTGTGTAACCATTAGCCAATCACCAACCAAGGTAACCCCCCCCCCCCAATCAGCACTTTTGAAACAGGGCTGAAACAGAGGGGATTATGGGATGCTGCAATGATCTGTTTGGTGTTTCAGACAAACACTTCAGAGACTTGTTTTGTATATATCTGAGAACTATAATATATTGATGAAAAACAGGATAATAGGGGACCTTTAACAGATGAACTTTGATAAAGAAAGCTAAGGTTCCCATTGTGTCCTCTTCCTCTCCAGCTGGCTTACTATGGCATCATCTCCATCGGGACTCCTGCTCAATCCTTCAAGGTCGTCTTCGACACCGGATCCTCCAACCTGTGGATTCCCTCGATCTACTGCAACAGCCCCGCCTGCAGTACGTAAAACTCTTCATCTATTACTAGCGTCTATTTAATGCTAATAACAGGATCACACAAAAGGCCGGTGCATCTCAGATGCGCACAACGATCCATGTGGAAACATTATGGCCTTTTAAGCTGATAAATATTGAAAAAAGGAAGGACCAGATCAAACCTAAATCCATTGAGTAGTGGAAAAACATGTTAAACTAATAACTCCAGGAAAGTCAAACAAAACAGGCGGGAAAACCCACAAAGACAGGAAGTCAAAACAGACATGGGGAATAAAGTTTCAAAATAAAACACGAAACATGAAAACCAAGATCTTGACAAACATGAGATGTAATCTCATCAGTGGAAATCTCCGTTTAGTTATTCCAGTATCTAGATTACAAGATTAATATTCCATTAATAAATTAAATTGAAAAAAATAAGTCAAGATTACTAACTGTTCTTTTTCAATTGCTTTACTTTGCACTCACTGCACAATATGTTATTGTCAATAAACACCTAATCAGCAAACATTTAACAATTATTTTTAGTCTTTACATCTGTTCTTTCTAGACAACCACGACAAGTTTAACCCCGGTAGTCTTTAGAGATGTTTTAGTAGAGAGTATGATTGCGATTAGGCATCCAGAGCGAGTTGTTTATTCCAAGATCTGCAAAGGAAAGATTGTAAATTCCCGTAATTTTACCATTTTAATGTCAGAGAAATCCACATTTTTTCTTGTTATTATACAGCCCTTATCTCTGATGTTCTGAGGAAGTTTTTGTTAGGTGGTTTAAAAGTTTAGATTGCAGATAGGTTAATATTGGCAGTCCATTAAACTAGATTGAAAACAAGAGGTCAAGACTGTTAAGAGTTACTTTTCAATTATGTCATTTGCTTTAAAAATAAAATCACAAATATACACTTTATCAGACAAGCATTGTTAATATTTTTGTCCTACACCTGTTCTTTCTAGACAACCACGATAAGTTTAACCCCAGCACCAGTAGCACCTTCAGAAATAACGGCCATTCTCTCAGCATCCAGTACGGCACCGGCAGCATGACCGGATTCCTCGGATACGACACTGTGACCGTAAGAAAATAAAGAAATTACTAACACTATATATTCGAAAATGAGTTCACAGTTCACATGTTTAACGATGAAGGTAAACTGAATATCTGTTGGGCTGAAGTGTCCTATTTATGTGTTGCACAACCTTTTTTACTTGATTAGCAAGTAAAATAACTGGATGGCCTACCTGCCTGTCAGCCTTCCATCTGTGCACAAACTTATCTCGTGCCCTCATTGGTCATGTGCGCGTTCGTGTGTGTTGGAGGAGGGGCTCTGTAAGGAAGTGGCAGATTTTTTCCGGCTGTGTATTTTCAAATTCTAGCGATCTCGAGCTGGTTTCTCCAAAATTACCTACCCCACCTTTAAGAACATATTTCTGGTATCAGTACTTTACTCCACTACTTATTTTTCTGACAATTTTTTACTTTTACTTCTTACATTTTGAACACAAATACCTGTACTTTCTACTTCTTACATGTTGAACACAAATACCTGTACTTTCTACTTCTTACATTTTGAACACAAATACCTGTACTTTCTACTTCTTACATGTTGAACCCAAATACCTGTACTTTCTACTTCTTACATGTTGAACACAAATACATGTACTTTCTACTTCTCTCATTTTCCAAACAGGCTGGTTCCTTTAGTTTGAATGTGTGTTTGGTGGCGTGATCATTATTATTTAGAGTCATTGCGTGCCTATTGATTTGAACACGATCCGTGTATCCATCATTTCCTGGTCTTCTCTAAAGAAGAGGGACCAATGAAAACGTTGTCATGTTGCCGTTGTTCAGCATGGAAACATTCATTAGCTAACAATGACATTATTGTTCTATTAATATAAAGGGAGGTCAGGTACTCTTTAAAACAGCTGCTAGTTATGGGTACTTTTTACTGAAGTACATTTCAAAGCCCTCTTTACTTTTACTTGAGTAAAGAAGTTCAGTCAGTACTTCTACTTTTCCAAGAGTATTTTTAAACACGAGTATCTGTACTTCTACTTGAGTAAAGGATGTGTGTACTTTTGCCATCTCTGTTGATTGGCAAAATCAAATGATCCTGTTGTAATTTAAGAGTGTTTTTAATCCCTGTGTTGTGTTTCTCAGGTGGGTGGTCTCGCTGTGAAGAACCAGATGATCGGCCTGAGTGAGACTGAAGCTCCCTTCATGCAGTACATGCGCGCTGACGGTATCCTCGGCCTGGCGTACCCTCGCCTGGCTGCATCCGGCGCTACACCCGTCTTCGACAACATGATGAGTGAGAATCTGGTCAACAAGGACATGTTCTCCGTGTACCTGAGCTCGTAAGCACAGAAATAACTTTGTATCATCCAATCAAGAGGACTAATGCAGGAATGAGTCTTAAAACCATTGAATAAGTCAGCTTTAACCTCTTCTTGTTCCCTCGTCTTGAAGGTTTTTTTTTAATGTTTTTTGGTTGTTGGCCTGAAAAAAAGGATTTTCACGTTTTGTTCTACGACATAAAATACATCAGTAAATACCCCACTGGTGGATTTAAAAATGGCGTTTGCTAACAAGTGTCTAAATAAGACGACTAAACTTCATCACACCCAACATGTGTAACGTTGCTGCCTTCTTGGCCAGGTCAGCATTGAAAATGAGATTTTATCTCAATGTTTTTATCTGGTTAAATAAAATAAAATTAGCCAACGTTAGCTTATCGATATAGCCTTACATTAGCTTTTGTCTTCATAAAGTGTTGTTAATATGTGGAGATTATCTATCAAAACATGTCATTATCACAAACATGTTATCCTATTTTCTGCAATATTCCAAAATTCCCATTAGCTTTTTGTTGAGGGATGCTAACTTGCGATGCTAACTTCCAAGTCGGCTCACAAAAAGACATCATCCCTGCACCGCTCTATACTGAGATAGCAACTGATTTCTAGACCATTTTTCATTTTTTTAATTTATTTTTTATAATTTATTCTACTATTTCAACAATTATACAGTTTATACATCCGAAAAACAAACAAAATTAGTAATACAGAGGTAGCCCTCCTGTTAGTTAAAAAAAGATAATTCCGTAATTAAATACGCACACAGACAAACACAATTCTACCCATACATATATACACATATACATACACATAGATCTGTAAAGTAACTAAAGGTATTAAATACATGTAGTGGAGTAAAAGTACACAATTTACCGCTGAATTGTAGTGGAGTAGAAGTAGAAAGTAGCATTAAATTGAAATACTCAAGTAAAGTAAAGTACAAGTACCTCAAAGTTGTATTTAAGTACTTGAGTAAATGTACTTAGTTACTTCCCACCTCTGCATCTATGAAAGGTAATAAAAGGATCAAACAAAATATAAATAAAATGAAAATAAAATAATAAAGTAAACAAAATAAAACAATTAATTAAAGGTGGGGTAGGTAATTTTGGAGAAACCAGCTCGAGATCGCTAGAATTTGAAAATACACAGCCAGAAAAAATCTGCCACTTCCTTACAGAGCCCCTCCTCCAACACACACGAACGTGCACATGACCAATGAGGGCACGAGATAAGTTTGTGCCCTGATGGAAGGCTGACAGGCAGGTAGGCCTTTTAGCCGGGCCAGCTCAAATGATTGGTCGTGCTTTTTACAGTATTACGGCTTCCACAGATGACATTTTTTTATGGATTTTTTGTCAAAGCACTTAAGATATTCATTGCTATCGGGATGTTAAGAGCATTCCATGGAATATAACAAAAAGTGTATCTCGAGCCGGTTTCTCAAACTTACCTACCCCACCTTTAATGATGTTCTCTCCTGTCTGTGCAGTGACGCTCAGCAAGGCAGTGTGGTGACCTTTGGTGGCGTTGACCCCAACCATTATTCTGGTTCCATCTCCTGGATCCCCCTCTCCCGCGAGCTGTACTGGCAGATCACAGTGGACAGGTAAAGAACCACAAACGCAGCATCACAAATCCTCCAGAAATCTCTAAAAACCAAAGTAATGCTGTAAGGAAAAGTGTTCTGATGCATGCTGTTCTGTTTCTCTTTCAGTGTTACTGTCAATGGTGAGGTTGTGGCCTGTAATGGCGGCTGCCAGGCTATCGTTGACACCGGTACTTCTCTGATTGTTGGACCTCAGAGCAGCATCAGCAACATCAACAGCAAAGTGGGAGCTACCGACCATAACGGAGACGTAAGTGCCCAAATGTTAAAGGATATTCCCGCAGCTTGTTGTTGTTGAAAGAACGGTACAAAAAAACATGTAACTCTTTCCTCCATTTTTCTTTTGCTTCAGTACTTGGTCAACTGCAACAGCATTGCCCAATTGCCTGATGTGATCTTCCACATCCACGGAGAGACCTTCACCATCCCAGGCTCTGCCTACATCCGCCAGGTAAGATTTTCTGCTTGCCTGCCAGACACTTTACCTTAGTGATGCAGGAATGAGTCCTAAAACCCAGTAATGCTGACTCATTTCTGGATTTTAGGACAAATTTCTGCACCACTATCCTCCCTCGTCTCAAAGTAAATGGTGTTTTGAACGTGTTTATGGTTGTTAGCCTGAAATAAGGTCTGTGGTTAACACAAGATGAAGAGATTTTTATTTTACGACATAAAATATGTCAGTAAATACCCCACTGGTGAATTCAAAAAATTGTGGATGCTAACAAGTGTCTAAATGAGACGACTAAACGCCATCACGTCCACCATTAGCCGCTTTTAGCTTAGCGGTGGTGACGTGAAGTCATGTGACCGTGCTCTAGTTCCTTTATAGCCCAACATTAGCCGCCTTTAGCTTAGCGGTGGTGATGTGAAGTCATTTGACAGTGCTGTAGTTCCTTTATAGCCCAACATTAGCCGCCTTTAGCTTAGCGGTGGTGATGTGAAGTCATGTGACCGTGCTCTAGTTCCTTTATAGCCCAACATTAGCCGCCTTTAGCTTAGCGGTGGTGATGTGAAGTCATGTGACCGTGCTGTAGTTCCTTTATAGCTCAACATTAGCCACCTTTAGCTTAGCGGTGGTGAAGTCATGTGACCGTGCTGTAATTCCTTTAAAGCCCAACATTAGCCGCCTTTAGCTTAGCGGTGGTGACGTGAAGTCATGTGATCGTGCTCTAGTTCCTTTATAGCCCAACATTAGCCTCCTTTAGCTTAGCGGTGGTGACGTGAAGTCATGTGATCGTGCTCTAGTTCCTTTATAGCCCAACATTAGCCACCTTTAGCTTATCGGTGGTGATGTGAAGTCATGTGACCGTGCTGTAGTTTATCTAATGGAAAGAAACCATTGGCTTTTTGTTGAGGGAACCAGGGAGATGCTAGTTTCTAGGTTGGCATACAGAAATACTTCCTCCCTGCACTATTTTGTCCCCCTCCATCTGAAACTCTTCTCTTTCCACAGTCTCAGTCCTATGGCTGCCGTACTGGCTTCGGTAACGGAGGAAGCAACCTGTGGATCCTGGGAGACGTCTTCATCAGACAGTACTACGCCATCTTCAACAGATCCCAGAACATGGTGGGTCTGGCCAAGGCTAGATAAGAAGACTGGAGTCACTGCTACCAACATCTTTAAATCAATCACATGTGTTGTATAGTAGGATTTACAAAATGCCTGAGACGCAAATATTTTCCCTGTCCGAAATATTTCCTCATATCCAATAAAGAGAGTTCAATCTAATTGACTGATGTTTTTCTAAAATGTACAATAAATAAACATGACACACACTTTTAAGTGAAGACATAGACACATGAATATTTGATGATATGCATTTGATTTTAAGATGTTTTAAAGGTATTTTTGCCTTTATTTGACCGATGACAGGGTATAAATGAGGGATGGAAAGAGGTATGACATGCAAATAATTTACTAAGCCTGGAATCAAACTTGGTACAAGAAGCTTAATGTTTGATTAAACAATCACCAATCAGTCAATGAGTCACAAAGATTTAGGTAAAGGTTGACAGTAAAGTTTGAAGCTTACAAAAACCTGTATTTATTAAGAGACTACATCTTGGTTTTGGTCAATAACTTTGTCTGACCAGTTGCGAGCCGTGACTTTTATACCTGCGGCTGTCTTTTTGGTGTCCACTAAATAAAGCATTGCTATACTTTCAGACCCCTCGTCTCGCCTCCCAGCTTTTTGTTGCAGCCCAAGAGCCGGGTTGTAACATATGGGGCAGGGCCGGCCATAGACTTTTAGGGGTCCTAAGTGAGCTTTGGCTTGGGGGCCCCCCTCACTCTAGCACGTTCTCACTACACACAACACGGAACCAACTTTTGTTTTAAGATGTTAGCATAAGCACACATATTGTATAAATAAGCATATGATGGACCTAACCTCCTCTAGGGGGGTCCGGGGGCATGCTCCCCTGGGAAGATTTTTTTTAAATATTGAAGTTAAAAGCATCAATCTGGTGCATTAAGAGATCTATGGATACATATCTCAACACCCATATGAAACAGAACTGTAAACAGATTTTTCTTTATGGATATTTTACAAATCCCTCTGTATTCTTGTTTTACTGTCATATAGTATTTCATAACTGTTTTTCATTTATGCTCTCTGGCTGTCCATCTCATAATGTTCACATAGAAACTAGCTGTCAATAGGAATATCATTCAGAAGAATTATAATTTCATGCAAAAATCTGTCACAAAAAGCGGTTGCACATTTAAATTCAGGTGTTGTTATGGCAACGTCAGTGGCCAAACAGCCACATTTACTTACTGCTGCTGCATGCTGTCGACACTTAAAGCAGTGGCATGCCACCATTTCAGCTGACTTTTCCTCAGAAATACTGTCACCTAACATCCATATATTTCAGTGCTAGGTTGATGCTTAGCTAAGCTAACTATGAAACACTTTAACTGACAGGACTCAGGATCAACTGTGTACTGTAAGGTAGCTTCTAGCTTCATGTCGAACAGTAAGTCAACATTTCCCAGAGAGCTTTCTTTGAAATCACCAGGTAATGCTAAAAAACATTACATTTAGATTGTATGACAAAGTGTTTATTTAATATATCTGGCTAGCTATAGCTAATTGCTAACGGTTTAGCTTCCCCCCGCGATTCAAAGTAACGTCAACGTAGCTGTAATTTATGCTTTGCTTACATGTTCGCATAACTTGGAAGTTTACATACCTTGTTTACCTGGCTCACACAACAACCCCAGAGCCACCACTTGAGAATTGTCGTCTTTTTTAAGAAAAAATGTTCTTATGTCCATCTTCAAAAACTCTGAGTCCGACTGACAGTTTATTTTAAACATTGTCACATCTCACAGGATAGGTACCTGTCAGCCAATAAGACAGATATTTATTTCCATTCAACTCTCTGGTTGGTCTGGTATCTTGCCTCTGTTGCATTCACTGAACACGGGAAATTGCAATAGCCGCTTTCACACCAAGTACTTTGCCGTACTTAGTTCCCAGCACTTAGTTCCCAGCACTTAGTACCCCAATGGAACTAAGTACAGATCGCGTTCACACCGGAATAAGTTCCCTGAGGAAAGATTACGCAAATGAAGCCGCTGACGTCACTTCTTCTTCTTCTGCTTTGGGTTTACTGGCAGGCCGCAAACAACTTCACGGCATATACTGCCACCCGAAGTCCCCGGCCGGAAGTCCCCGGAGTTGGGGACTGGTTTCAGTAGAAGCTGCTGGGACTCCCAGCAGCTTCTACTGAAGCCTTCCGAGTAAATCGTCAGAACGCCGACACCTCCTCATCACTCCACCGCTCCCATGTTTTTTTTTGTGTTGCCAAAAGTTATTCTCTCTCCATTGGTGCGTGGGGCTAATGCTAATGCTAATAATGCTAATGCCAGCAAATACAATGGCAGCTTCACAAAACTTGTCAGAGTTTTACGGGGCGTGATTTGCAATTCGCCCAGCCAATCGAAATTGGTACTTTTTTCTCCCCAGGATAGTCCCACCTCTCTAGCAGGCACTAAAAATGGGGGTAAAAGTTCTCGGAACTAAGTTCTCTTTTTGGTGTGAACGCAAAATTCCAGGCACTAACGGAACTAAACGGGAAAAGTACGGGGAAAAGTACTCCGGTGTGAACGCGCCTAATCCTGCCGTCGTCTCTAGTGTCATGATGAGGTTCAGGTAAAGCACGGTTAATGTATTATATTATTGACTCAATAATATAATACATGACTCTTGACATGAGAGTAGGCAATCTAGGCATATTAACAAAAGTAATTAAACATACTTATCACAGCGAGGGTGTACTGAGATTATAATTTTGTTTTCTTCATTTCTTTCATTTTTTGCTAGGGTGGCTCCGCTTATGTCGCGTAATGGGTCGGGCCGACTCTGAGAATAATAACAAATGGGGTATAAATAGGTTTAAAATATAAAAACAAAGTGTGAAACAGTTTAATATGTAGTAAAACTGCATCTTAGTTTTATTTCCATCACCTTTTGACATTGCAAGAGGAACCAGTCGTGCAAGCTTTAATCAAAAGTTTGTTTTCCTAACTTTACTTTTCTTGAGGTCAATGATTACTTGTTCCATTTCTTATCTTCACTTATGTGTGTGCTCTGCTGCCTTATCAACGTGTAATGCTAACATGTTAGTGCATTTGTATAAAGGAGGATGCAAAGCTGTGTGTAGGCACTCAAGTCTTTGGAGTCATAAGGTGAGTTTACTGCACTTTATGGCTGCTGCAGTATTTCAGTTTCAGTGTTTCTGTGAAGTGATTTTTTGATGAAATAACCTCCTTTTCTTGCAGTTGATAGCCAAACCGTGAAAATGCAGCGTGCCTTTGTTCTGTGTGCCGTGGTGGCGCTGTCCGAGTGCCTCTTCCAGTAAGTCCTTCCTTTCTAAAATATATACCTGTATCTCGAAAGAAAATATTATTTTAAGTAAAGGCAGCTCGGTCCATGTCTTTTTGTAAAATACTGACATGGGTAGTGTCCAGAGGTGGGAAGTAACTAAGTACATTTACTCAAGTACTGCACTTAAGTACAATTTGTACTCCACTACAGTTCAGAGGTAAATGGTGTACTTCTACTCCACTACATGTATTTAATACTTTAGTTACTTCACAGATTTGGATGAATGATGTGAAATATAATCAAGTGTTAAATCAGACTTTAGTTCCACCTGGAGTAAATTCACAAGCTACCCTGCAGTATACAAAGTCATTCAAACTAGCTGCACCTTTACCAGCTTTGAGAACACTTTCATGATCAATCATTATAAAACATATCATATATATTATTCTGAAATGGACCAATCTGCACAATGACTACTTTTGCTGTCGCTACTTTCACTATATTTTGATGATAATACTTTTATACTTTTACTTGAGGAATATTTTGAATGCAGGACTTTTACTGTAACAGAGTATTCCTACACTCTGGTACTTCTACTTTTACTCAAGTACAAGATCTGAGTACTTCTCCCACCTCTGGTAGTGGCGTAGCAACAATAAGAACAGAGAAGCAGGACTTAAAGGTCCCATGTCATGCTTTTCTGGTTATTACCCGTCCCCTTGTGTGTTATGAAGGTTTCTCTGCATGTAAACGGTCTGCAGAGTCAAAAACCCTCAAAGTACACCCTAAAACTCTAACACAGAAAAGACCTGTCTATGCTGCCCCAGAACGCCTCGTTGGAGATTTTTCTTTTTCCATTGTTTGCTTCCTGGGTACAGTGACGTGTGAACACCCAAATCAACAACAAATGACCGGATTGGCCCAAATGGACCAATCCGCTGTGCACCTCACACGCCAGGATCCCTTGGCTAACTAACAGGGAGTCCCCATTGACTTGCATAGAGCTCCCTGAACGCTGGTAATAGATGAGTTGGGATCGTGGAGAAATGCTCTCTGCAGACCCATTCTCACAGCGTTATAAACAGGGGTGCACATAACTTTCTCAGTGAGGTACTCAGATGAGTACCTGGAGTCAGTGTTTGGTACTCCAACTTCTGGCTCCACTCAAAGTTATTTGATGAAGCCCTCTGTATCGCGAACGTCAACGGGGGGGGGTGCTAGTGGAGTACTTCAGGAAAGTCGACGGGGGGGGGGGGGGCTAGTGGAGTACTTCGTGACCACAGAGCGTGAACGTTGTGATCAGCTGTTTTAGCGCAGTTCTCCAGTGAAGGGGGGGGAGTCTCCCTCCGCAGCCGGTTGGCGTAGTTTTGGCACAATTCCGTTGTACAGACCGACGTTAACAGCAGCCCTGTCTGTGCACACGGAGACCGACTCTGTCGTCCGGTGATCTAACCGCCTTCTGGAAAAGCTTCACAAGTACGTCGGTACGCAAATGCGCTTTGTGACACAAGTGACGGTACGCATTTCAGATTGTTGCCGCGCATGCGTACCTGCGTACCAGTTATGTGCACCCCTGGTTATAAACCTTTTTCTTACTCAATATCAAGCCACCCTTATTGTTTTTACTTCGGCTGTGAGTGTTTGTGTGTGCTCAGGATGAGTTTAGCTTGTTCTCGCTGTATTGCCGACCCGGAAACCTGTCCGCTCCTCGCAGCAGCTCGCAGCAAGGAGCCTCGCAACGTCCCGACCAATCAGAGCACACTGGGCTCACAGGGAGGGGGGGGCAGGAGCTCCAACAAGCCGTTTAGGCAACACAGTCTCACTCCCTGATAGTCCATTAGCGACGCTTGGTCAGGGTCCTATGGTGTGCAGTTGGGACGCGC